GATACTCAATATCTCACGAATAGAATGACCAATCAACAAGTCCTCGGTAGGGCAAATGTAAAAATGTATCCTGAAACATCTGACTAAATAACAAATATCATGCTGCCACCAGCGTTACGTACGACTGGTCCGAAAATTGACATTTCCACCAGAGCACAAACTGCATCATAGATTTAAGACGAAATAGATATAAAATATATCACGAACGGGAACATCATTCATTAAATCCATTCAAGAGCATACTTCAAAATATATACTTAAACGTCTCACAAAATTGCAAAGGACTGGCATGTACCAGTGTGACGTACGACTGGTCGGAAAGTTGACATTTCGACAAGAGCACAAATTGCATAAGCGATTTAAGAGGAATTGGATATTATATATCCCCCTAACAGAGAAGTCAATCGATACATCCCTCCTTTGGCAAACGTAAAAATATATACACAAACGTCTCACAATATATCAAATTAGTCGCTGCTACCAGTGCGATGTACAGCTGGTCCGAAAATTGACATTCCGTAAATAGCCCAAAGTAAATCAGACTTGTATGACAAATTAGATACTCAATATCTCACGAATAGAATGACCAATCAACAAGTCCTCGGTAGGGCAAATGTAAAAATGTATCCTGAAACATCTGACTTAATAACAAAAAATCATGCTGCCACCAGCGTTACGTACGACTGGTCCGAAAATTGACATTTCCTCCAGAGCACAAACTGCATCATAGATTTAAGACGAATTAGATATAAAATATATCACGAACGGGAACATCATTCATTAAATCCATTCAAGAGCATACTCCAAAATATATACTCAAACGTCTCACAAAATTGCAAAGGACTGGCATGTACCAGTATGACGTACGACTGGTCGGAAAGTTGACATTTCGACAAGAGCGCAAATTGCATAAGCGATTTAAGAGGAATTGGATATTATATATCCCCCTAACAGAGAAGTCAATCGATACATCCCTCCTTTGGCAAACGTAAAAATATATACATAAACGTCTCACAATATATCAAACTAGTCGCTGCTACCAGTGCGATGTACAGCTGGTCCGAAAATTGACATTCCGTACATAGCCCAAAGTAAATCAGACTTGTATGACAAATTAGATACTCAATATCTCACGAATAGAATGACCAATGAACAAGTCCTCGGTAGGGCAAATGTAAAAATGTATCCTGAAACATCTGACTAAATAACAAATATCATGCTGCCACCAGCGTTACGTACGACTGGTCCGAAAATTGACATTTCCTCCAGAGCACAAACTGCATCATAGATTTAAGACGAATTAGATATAAAATATATCACGAACGGGAACATCATTCATTAAATCCATTCAAGATCATACTCCAAAATATATACTTAAACGTCTCACAAAATTGCAAAGGACTGGCATGTACCAGTGTGACGTACGACTGGTCGGAAAGTTGACATTTCGACAAGAGCGCAAATTGCATAAGCGATTAAGAGGAATTGGATATTATATATCCCCCTAACAGAGAAGTCAATCGATACATCCCTCCTTTGGCAAACGTAAAAATATATACATAAACGTCTCACAATATATCAAACTAGTCGCTGCTACCAGTGCGATGTACAGCTGGTCCGAAAATTGACATTCCGTACATAGCCCAAAGTAAATCAGACTTGTATGACAAATTAGATACTCAATATCTCACGAGTAGAATGACCAATCAACAAGTCCTCGGTAGGGCAAATGTAAAAATGTATCCTGAAACATCTGACAAAATAACAAATATCATGTTGCCACCAGCGTTACGTACGACTGGTCCGAAAATTGACATTTCCTCCAGAGCACAAACTGCATCATATAAAATATATCACGAACGGGAACATCATTCATTAAATCCATTCAAGAGCATACTCCAAAATATATACTTAAACGTCTCACAAAATTGCAAAGGACTTGCATGTACCAGTGTGACGTACGACTGGTCGGAAAGTTGACATTTCGACAAGAGCGCAAATTGCATAAGCGATTTGAGAGGAATTGGATATTATATATCCCCCTAACAGAGAAGTCAATTGATACATCCCTCCTTTGGCAAACGTGAAAAT